CATCTCAGGCCTCCACCACCTTACTGTCTGTGTCCATGGGATATGTATATATCCATACAAGTTCTTTGGTTGATTTCTCCCTACCTCCCCCTACCTTCCCTCTGAGATTCAACAGTCTGTTCCAGGCTACTGTGTCTCTGGATCTAATTTGTCCAACACTTTAATTTGTTCATTAGATTCCACATATGAGTAAGACCTGAGGATATTTTTCCATTGTTTTTTAGAGAGTTGAAGAGAGAGAGAAAGACAGGGAAACATCGATGTGAGAGAGACACATTGATTGGTTGCCTTCTTCATTCACCCTGACTAGGGCCCGGGTGGGGAGGAGCCTACAACCATGGTACGTGCCCTAGACTGGAATCGAACCTGGTACCCTTCACTCCACAGGCCGATGCTCTATCCACCAAGCCAACCACAGCTTTTTCATCCACTCATCTACTAATGGGCACTTGGGCTGTTTCCTGATTTTAGGCATTATAAATTGTGCTGCTATGAACATGGGGGTGCATACATTCTTTCTGATCGGTGTTTTGGACTTCTTAGGATATATTCCTAGAAATGGGATCACTGGGTTGAATGGCAGTTCCATATTTAATTTTTTGAGGAAACTGCATTCTGTTTTCCATAGTGGCTGCATCAGTCTGCATTTCCACCAGCAGTGTAGTAGCATTCCCTTTTCTCCATATCCTCTCCAGCACTTGTCATTTGTTGATTTATTGATGATAGCCATTCTGACAGGTGTGAGGTGATACCTTATTGTCATTTTGATTTGCATCTCTCTGATGATCAGTGATTTTGAGCACTTTTTCATATATTTCTTGGCCATCTGTATGTCCTCTTCTGAGAAGTGTCTATTTAGGTCCTTTGCCCATTTTTTAAGTTGGATTGTTTGTCTTCCTTTGTTAAGTTGTATGAGTTCCTTATATATTTTGTATATTAATCCTTAACAGATGAATCATTGCCAGATATGTTCTCCCATACAGTGGTGTGGGTTCCCTTTTTATTTTGTTGGTGTTTTTTTTTGCTGTGCAGAAGTTTTTTATTTTGATGTAGTCCCATTTGTTTATTTTCTCCTAAGTTTCCTTTGCCCTAGGAGATTTACCCAAAACATGTTGCTACGAAAGATGTCTTGAGATTTTGCTGCCTATGGTTTCTTCTAGAATTTTTATGGTTTCATGGCTTACATTTAAGTCTTTTATCCATTTTGAGTTTATTCTTGTGTATGGTATAAGTTGGTGGTCTAGTTTCATTTTTTGGAATGTTCCTGTACCGTTGATTGAAGAGGCTGTCTTAACTCCATTGTATGTTCTTGCTTCCTTTGTCAAATATTAATTGAGCATAATGGCTTAGATCGATTTCTGGCATCTCTGTTCCATTGCTCTGTATGCTGTTATTGTGCTGGTACCAGGCTGTTTTGATTGCAGTGGCTTTGTAGTATAACTTGATATCTGGTATTGTGATCCCTCTAACTTTGTTCTTTTTCAAGATTGCTGTGTCTATTTGGGGTCTTTTTGGTTCCATATAAATTTTTGGAGTATGTGTTCTAGATGTGTGAAATGCTGTTGGTAATTTAATAGGGAGTGCATTGAGTCTATGGATTGCCTTGGGTAGTATGAACATTTTAATGGTGTTAAGTTAATTGAGCATAATGGCTTAGATCGATTTCTGGCAGCTCTGTTCCATTGCTCTGTATGCTGTTATTGTGCTGGTACCAGGCTGTTTTGATTGCAGTGGCTTTGTAGTATAACTTGATATCTGGTATTGTGATCCCTCTAACTTTGTTCTTTTTCAAGATTGCTGTGTCTATTTGGGGTCTTTTTGGTTCCATATAAATTTTTGGAGTATGTGTTCTAGATGTGTGAAATGCTGTTGGTAATTTAATAGGGAGTGCATTGAATCTATGGATTGCCTTGGGTAGTATGAACATTTTAATGGTGTTAAGTCTACCAATCCATGAACAGGGAATATTCTTCCACTTGTTTATATCTTCCTCTACCTCTTTTTTCAATGTCATATAGTTTTCTGAGTACAAGTCTTTTGCCTCCTTAGTTAAGTTTATCCCTAGGTATCTTAATTTTTTTGTTGTTATGGTAAATGGGATTGTTTGTTTAGTTTCTCTTTCTGATAATTCATTATTGGTATACTAGAGGCCCAGTGCACGAATTTGTGCATGGGTGGGGTCCGGCTAGCCCAGCCCCAATCAGGGCCGTGGGCAATTGGCTGGCCGACCCCACCCCCTATTGGGGTTGGAGTGCCGTGGTGGGGCTGGGTGGGGGGGAGGGCTGCAGGAGGTTGGCTGACCAGCCCCACCCCTATTGGGGTGGAGGGGTGTGATCCGGGGTGGGCCAGCTGGGGGGAGCGGCTGCCAGCCTGTTGTGGTGGGGTAGGCTGGGCTGGGGGGAAGGGAGGGGCAATTTGGCCAGCCAGCCAGCTCTTGATCAGGGTGGGATAGTCCCATCAGGGGCAGGCCAGAAGGGGGGAGGGGCCGAGTGGTTGGCTGGCCGGCCCCACCCCCTGATCGGGTGGTTCACTGGCCACAGTGGGCATCATAGCTACCAATCGTTGTGGTCGTTATAGCCATTATGGTCACTGGCTTTTTATATATAGAGATAAAAATATCATTGATTTCTGGGTGTTAATTTTGTATCCTGCTGCATTGCCAGATTCCTTTATTAAATTTAGTAGTTTTTTGGTGGAGTCTTTAGGATTTTCTTTGTACAGTATCATGTCATATCGGGATGGAGCTGGCCATGGGGAGGGGCTGCGAGCGGTTGGCTGGCCTGCCCCACCCCTAAGTGGGGTGGGAGGTGCTGATCAGGGGCAGTGACCTGGGGAAGGGGCCATGGGTGGTTGGCGACTTTTATCTCCTTGGTTAAGTTTATTCCTAAGTATTTTAATTGTTTTGTTGGAATGGCAAATAGGATTATTTATTTAGTTTATCTTTCTGAGAATTCATTAATGGTGTATAAAAATGCCATTGATTTCTGGGTGTTAATTTTGTATCCTGCTGCATTGCCAGATTCCTTTATTAAATTTAGTAGTTTTTTGGTGGAGTCTTTAGGATTTTCTTTGTACAGTATCATGTCATATCTGAATGAGTTTTACTTCCTCCTTTCCAATTTGCATGCTTTTTGTTTCTTCTTCTTGTCTGATTGCTGTGGTTAGGACTTCCAGTACTTTGTTGAATAAGAGTAGTGAAAGTGGACATCCCTGTCTTGTTCCTATTTTTAGAGGAAATGGTTTTAGCTTTTGCCCATTGAGTATTATGTTGACTGTAGGTTTGTCATATATGACCTTTATTATGTTGAGGTATGCTCCCTCTATTCGCACTTTGCTGAGAGTTGTTATAAAAAATGGATATTGGATTTTGTTGAATGCTTTTTCTATGTCAATTGATATGATAATGTAATTTTTGTCTTTCAATTTGTTTATGTGATGTGTCACGTTTATTGATTTGCAAATATTGTACCAGCTTGCATCCCTGGAATAAATCCCAGTTGGTCATGGTGTATAGATCTTTTTAATATATTGTAGGATCCGATTTGCTAATATTTTGTTGAGGATTTTAGCATCTGTGTTCATCAGGGATATTGGCCTATAATTCTCTTTCTTTGTAGTGTTTTTATTTGGTTTTGGAATTAGGATATTGCTGGCCTCATAAAAAGAGCTTGGAAGTGTTCCTTCCTCTTGGATATTTTAGAATAGTTTGAGGACGATAGGTGTTAGTTCTTTGAATGTTTGGTAAAACTCCCCTGTGAAGCTGTCTGGACCAGGGCTTTTGTTTGCTCTGAGTTTTTACTTTATTTTATTTTATTACTGCTTCAGTTTCATCAATTGTTATTGGTCTATTTAGGTTTTCTGATTATTCTTATTCAGTTTTAGAAGATTATATTTTTTAGGTTAAGATGTATTTGTTCTAATCCGTAGTCTACTTTATATGATACAGTAATTCATAGAGTTTTTTTATTTTTTTGATCTGAGACTTAATGTTAAATTTTTGTATTTGCTGACAAAATATTAGATTGAATTGACAGAAGAAATTTCTGAGGAAGACTTTTTTAGCAGGAATTTAGAGGAAGAGCAGGGTTGGAAGATGGCTGGATTGAGTTGTGGAGTAAATTGATACAAAAAGGTAAGAGGAGTTTTGAGAGTAGAGTGATGACAAAATGGAGGGATAACTGGATTCTAAAATGAAGGAATAATTTATATAGGGGATTAATATGAAATTATATTGGTTGATATGTGCAAAAAGATTTCTTTTAATATAGAGTATTTTAGATTTAATACTTTATGGTAATAACTTGGCAGGGTGGGGAGTCAGGCATTGAACAATTAGGTGAAGATTTTTAAAAATCTGGTTTTACTCTTTGAACTATGCGAAAGATGCTAATAATTCGAACTTTTAGTGTTCTTACATTTAAAACACCTCATGATGGAGAACATCTCATTCTTTATCTTTTCAAAATGTAAGGAATTCTGCAACTTGGCATATATATGCATTATAATTTGAGACTTGTCTAGTTCCAAACAGTTTAATACTTATCCTGTGAGCACGCATTTTGCAGATTTCTTATTTTTTAAAAATTTGATAGACATTTGAATATTGTTCATGTAGATAGGCTTTGTAGGAGATAAATTAGTTAGAATCATTTCTATCTAATGCATATGTTAAGACATAAGAAAATACACATTGATTAAGAGTCACTATGACAGGTACAGAAAACAAAGGGGTTATTTCTCTATGTATTGTAGAATATATTTAAAATTCAACCACAGTTGAAATGATAAAGGTGGTCATTTTCTTTGCCATGTATTTCTTACTCTGATTCTTTAAGAATTTGACCGATAATAATATAACCATTCCTTAGATTCTTTTCTTATTTATAAAATGTGATATATTTTTAAGGACTATGATTTAGGTATTTTTTTTCCCTCTCAGGAATGCTTGCAACCAAACCATTTGTTTGTTTGTTTGTTTGTATTTTTCTTTCTTTTTTCAGAGGTTACGCACAGAAAATAGGCTTTTAAAACAACGCATTGAAACATTAGAAAAAGTAAGTAAATGACTACTTATGTAAGCTTCTGTTAAATACAGTTTTTTTCCTGTCTATTTTATATAAAGAAATCTAGTTTATATGTCTCCAAAGTTGTGGTATTAACTGCTTTAGCTTGCCTGGCTTACTACTTAATTAATTAACTTGTCATTAGTAAAAATTGATCACTACTAGCTCTTAAACTTTAAAGTTTTAAGTAAGATAATAGTAATACTTGTTTTCTTTACCTGTAATCTCTAAAATGTATGTTCTTTTGAGGTAACTTAATTTAGAATCTACTTTGTATAATATTTTCAAATATTGCCCCGACTTTCTAGCCATATATTAAATGTGGCAATGACTCATGTAAGGCGTAGCTAGGTTTGCTTTAAGTTTAGTCAAAATGACTGACTGATTTCTTATTTAAAAATTCATCATGATTTTCAACACTGGGGAATTGTGCTTAAACTTTTGGTTCTTAAAATTATTTTGATACCATTTTTGTTACCTATTCCTCTTTGTTTCATATAAAATAACTGGGCAGATGTGGACATATTGCATTCTTTTTTATATTATGCTTTTGATATAATATCTTTTGTAGTCTTGTTTCTGATGCTATAAGAATGTATTGAATACTAAAAGTATAGTGTAGGAGTTTTGGTTTATTTTAAGAAAAACATCTGAATTTAGAAAGTCTTTGATATTTTGGGGGTTTGTGTTTGTTTTTGACTAAAGGTGAGAGAAAGTAGATTTAAAAGTACTTTTTATGATATTGCCAATTATCTTTAAATCTTCCCTGCTAATCTATGGATCAATATTCAAGAAAGCAATAAATAAAAAAATGGATAGTTTGCATTTTTGTCTTTTGTTTGAAAGTATTAATGGTTTTATATCAAAAAGTGCTGCACAAGGACCAGGATGCTAATTACATGCCTATTTTTGTGTGTGATAATTGCAGGTTCGCTATATTAAGTCAAAAGTAGTTTTCCTGTATTTTCTTCATCTTATTAGAGTTGCTTTGATGACAATTCTACTTTTTTGGTGATTCTGCAAAAAGATTGAGCTTAGTTGTTTTTGTTTAAATTATATCCTTTTTTTTTCAAAAAATACTCAGTTTTATAGTAAAATATATATATCATCTTAGTGGTCTTTTATCCTTGGAGTGAGATATTTTCACAGAGAAAGCATTTTTATTTTATTGAACCTTCACAATGATAAAGATGCTGTTAGAAAGTGTTAAGCTTGGATTTTGATTCTAAAAGCTAAGTACCTTTTTTATTGACTTAGATGGCCTACGTGTGTCCACTTAGAATTCTATAAATACGTATGTATCAAATTCTGCAATCAACAAGTTTAATCAGTTATTGCTAGGGTGTGTTACCTTGAGCTCATTAATTTCACTTGTGATATTTTTCTTGCTTTGCGTCTTTGGAAGTTGGGCTTGCACAAACTGCTGTCACACTTTGTAAGTGGAATTGCTTACTCAAATTCCTTCTCCTTTTCATATAAGTGGTTTGACAATGTGACTAACTCTAAAAATAAAGATTTAAAAGTATGCTTTAAAGAGAAGATATTTGCTTGTTCCAAATAATGAAAAACCTCTTGGAATTTGTTTAGTCTCTTCTAGTACATGACTTTCTGCAGCCTATTCTTTAATATATTTTTATAAGGTTTAAGAATAAAAACACATTCAGTAAAAATAGCTTTAAAATTTTCATGTTTATTTTAATTTCATGAAAAGTAGGTGGAATTTGGGTATGCTTGTTTCTTCTTATTCCTAATTTTATCACCTTTATTTTATTTCTTTCTCTTACATTTCTATCTGAATTTTTCCTTTTGTAGGAAAGTGCTTCCTTGGCAGATAGATTGATACAGGTATAGTTTCTTATTACTTTTTTTTTTTTTTTAGCATTTTCTCTAACTTCTAAGGAAAGTCCTAAATATAGAAATTTGTATTTTAATGCATGCAATTTTACATGCATTTCCCACCCAAAATAATATTTTAGGTGGTACGTAGGGGTGTAAGCTTATTCTTGATAACAGGGTGTTATCTTGGTTTATTAAAATAAGCACCTTTTTGCACGTTTTAAAGCTAACCTTCTTTTAAAGTATTACAAAATGGCAATCAGTGGATTCTGTGAAATTAACTACTTATTCATTGACATTTAGTCCTGCATGTACAATTCAGTAATAATGCATGAATTGAATTTTTATTGACTGAAACAAGAATTGTTCTTAAGATTGCCAGGTGAATTTTTCATTTAGTTCCCCAAAATTTGCTGGAGCAATAATGAGCTGCTGGCTAACAATTGCTTAGGCTGTTCTGTTCTCTGAGGTGATTTAAAAAAACTATGTCAAAGTAAATAACTAAACCTCCCAAAGACAGTCTTTCTTGACTCTATCCTAAATTGCTTTATACACACAAAAATTATGTCCTAAGGGACAAGTGACAAGAGCCCAGGAGGCTGAGGAAAACTACCTCATAAAACGGGAACTGGCCACCATCAAACAGCAGAGTGATGAGGCCAGTGCTAAGCTGGAGCAGGCTGAGAATACCATCAGGAAGCTCCAGCACCAGCCGCAATGGGTAAGGAGTCCAGTAGTACTTTTTCTCACCTTTCTCATTTCCTTTCCTTTAAGTCCTTTTTAAAAGCACAGCTTTTGTGCTCTTGTTAAAATAATTTTATTTTTTTATTTCAATTAAATTCTGAGTCAGTTTTATGTTCTGTAATAGTGTCTTATTGTGGCCTAAAGTTTCCTCATTCTAACATTTTTTTTCTGTCTACCCAGTTTTGTTAATAATAGGTACTATTTTCTTTATGTTTTCAGTCATAGAAAATAAGTGATGTATGTCAGACCTTTTTTTCAAGTTTTATAAATCTGTTTCATAATAGGTATTTTGCCATGGGTAACTTTACAATCATAACTTCAGCTAGTTTTTGTTAAAAGTGCAGATGAAATATTATCCAATGTAGAATATATGTAATTATCTCATCTAAAGCTTTGATAATGTGGTGATTTATGTCTTATGAAATACCATAGTCTTACCTTCTTATACCAAGACATTAAGTTATGGGTTAAGGTATATGCTTATATTTTTTTCAAAAGTAGAGAAGTTGTCAAAACGAAAAAGAAAGAACTTACAAAAATAATGTTAACTAATTTAGAGTACTGAACAGCCACTGATTGTACAGCTATCCTCAGGTGTCTTTTGCCACTTAGACATCGTTTTCCATTGGCAAATTCAGACTGGAGTGATCTTAATTAATAATATGAGATCTTAAAAGAAAAGTCAGCTGTTAACCTTTGAAAAGATATTTCTTGTTTCAGTTTTCTGTTTTTAAGTATGAGTTAGATAGTAACAGGGTAGGCAAAAGAAGGTTATGTTAAACCTGGAACTCTTTACAGATCGGGAGGTAAAAAACACAGTTACTTCAAAGTGGACATTACTTTCATTCAGTAAAATGAAGAAACAACATCATCTGGGTATAAAAATCAGAAAACTAAAAAAAATAAAAATAAAAAAGTTGACAATTGAAAAAACCCAACATCAATTAATTATCTTCTATTAATATTACTAAAGATGGTTAAAAATGAGAGTGGTAAAGAACACTCAAAAGATAGAACTAATGTATTTTGATCTGTCTTTGAATGAAATGTCAATATAAAAGCATAAAAATAGAAAAAGCAGAATTGAAGGTAATGTTAGGAATTAAGCTGAACTGAGTTATCAGTGCAATGTGATTTTGTTATAAGGACAGATGAGTGTATATTTACATTTAGCGTAAGTTATAGTCATATACATTAGAATCATGAATTACTAGTTTTTTTTTGCATTGCTTTTCAAATACTGAGATCTCTGGGTAGATATGTATAAAAATATAGAATGTTGGTTCATAATGAAAAAGTTAAGTGGGCAAATAAAATTGGCCAGAATAAACTGAAGCTTTTGAAAATTACGTGTAACAAAAATACTCTTTGTGCTTTTTTTTTCAAGGAAAAAATAGACCCACAGTATAGGGTTAAGATAAAACGAGGAGAAAGCAGATCCCCACTTCAGTTTTATTTCTATTTGTTTTCTCACTAAGCAGACATCCTCCTTTGGAATAAATTATGAAACAGACATAATAAAGCAGAGATGCACAAAATAGGTGGAAGTTACAGAGCCTTGGTTAAATTTCCAATTTTATTTTATTTACAATATATGTGAAGTATGTTTCAGAATTGTATAGGATGGAATATTTCAGAAATGCCGCTAATATATTGGATAGTGAATCAGGATTCCAACATATTTAAATAATCTATTCAGAATAAGAAACTAAAAGAAAAGATTATTTCATAGAAATCAACCTGTAACTTTGCCTTTAAGTTTAAAATTCAAAGCTATATCATAGACCTAGAAATTTTGACAGGAAATCAAGACTTAGCCAATAATGTAATATGGCTGCCCTCCCCTCCCCAGCCTCACCCCCTAAATCACAAGTATGGTCTTCCTAGAAGAATAATGATCCAATTTGGTTCTAAGTAGCAGATCATTTGTAGTATTCTATTTAGTTTGAATACCAAAACTCATGTGAAATATTTACAGATTATATTCTGGACAGTATAGGAAAGACTGTGGAAGCCCAGGATACTTTTAGATTACACTAAAGAAGATTTTATAAGAATACCATAGGTAAGAGTGGTAAAGAATACTCAAAAGATAGAACTAATGTATTTTGATCTGTCTTTGAATGAAATGTCAATATAAAAGCATAAAAATAGAAAAAGCAGAATTGAAGGTAATGTTAGGAATTAAGCTGAACTGAGTTATCAGTGCAATGTGATTTTGTTATAAGGACAGATGAGTATATATTTACAAGTCATTTTCAAGTATTTGACAGGTAATCTTATGTAAAACTAGAGGCCCGGTGTACGAAATCCGTGCACTTGGTGAGGGGGGGTGGACAGGTCCCTCAGCCTGGCCTGCACCCTCTTGCAGTCCGGGAGCCCTCAGGGATGTCCACTTGGGGGAGCGGGCCTAAGCCATCGGTCGGACACCCTTAGTACTGCTGTTGAGGCAGGAGAGGCTTCTGCCACCGCTGCTGTGCTTGCCAGCTGTGGTCATGCTGAAACTGGCTCTCTGACATCTCCTGAGGGGTCCCAGATTGCGAGAGTGCACAAGCTAGGCCGAGGGACCCCACCAGTGCATGATTGGGGCCGGGGAGAGATGTGAGAGGTTGGCCAGCTTGGGAGGGGCCGCAGGAGAGTTCCAGGGTGTATCCGGTCCATCTCACTCAGTCCTGATCGGCCGGACCTCAGCAGCAAGCTAACTTACCGGTTGGAGCATCTGCCCTTTGGTGGTCAGTGCATGTCATAGTGACTGGTCAACCAGTTGACTCTCTGGCCCCTGCTGGTCAGTCACATCATAGCGAGCAGTTGAGCGGCCTTAGCATTCATTAGCATATTATTATTTGATTGTTGAACGGCCAACTGGATGACTGGACACTTAGCATATTAGGCTTTTATTATATAGGTCTAGAGGCCCAATGCACGAAATTTGTGCAAGGGGCTCAGCCCTCGCAGTCCCTCACAGCCTCGGCCGGCCCTCGCAGCCCTTCGTTGCCTTGGCTGGCCTCGCAGCCCCGGCTTCATCCAAAGGTCATTTGGACGGTTGTCTGGAATGTTGTCCAGACTGTCGTTTGGCTATTTGGTCTAATTAGCATATTAGCTCTTTATTATATAGGATTATTTAGCCTTTGTTTGATATTGCTCCAGAGAGCAGAATGTACTTATGATCCAAGGACACAAAATCTTACTCATTTGAATTTTGACAAATAGAGTAGTTGCTTTGCAAATAGTGAGCATAATACTGATACACGGTGAACATCTATTGCTAAAGGTTTTTGACCTTCCAGTATAACTTTATGAATTCTTCAGAACTCTCAGAATAAGGATTTAAATCTGTATTCCAGCAGTAAGTATTGAATTACCAATATAATCACTACCACCACCTTCTACTGGCAGTACAGATGCTCTTCTACTTATAATGTAATTATGCCCCATAAAGCCATCATAAGTTGAAAATATAGTTAAGTCAAAAATGCATTTAATACACCTAACCTAACGAACATCATAGCTTAGCCTAGCCTACCTTAAATGTGCCCAGAACACAATATCCAAATTAGTTGTTTGCTGTCGTGATCACGTGCCTGACTGGAAGCTGTGGTTCCCAAATCTTTTTTTTTTTTTAGTTAAAATTCTTTCCATGCCAAGACCATAGCAAATGGACACTAAAGTATTACTTTTTTGACCCAGATCCTTATATAACGCTTCTCTTTCCCCTTTCCTACAAATATAAGTAGCAGCCAAAATACATAGTCATGAGAAAGAAAACAGTCTGACTATTCTGTACTTATTGTCAAGGTATCAGGTTTAGTTTGTGTAAACACTTTGTATTTTGCTCAATTCTATATGACTCTGATGTGACAATTTGATAATAGAGCCATGTATTCAGTTATTTACTGGAAAAATAATGTATAAATTTACTATTCCTGAGAGTGTAATAGTAAACAAGAAAAAAAAGTCTGGTATTACATGAAGTGTACATTCTAGTTGAGGAGAAATATATTAAATAAATAAAATTTTAGGTGATGTTAAGGACATTATCCAGAAAATAAAAAAGGCTACATAATGGTAGAAAATATTTGCAAATCATGTATTTGATGCAGATTTAGCATACAATATATATATAGAACTTTTAAAACTCAACAAAAAGACAAGCAACCCAATTTTAGAATGAGCAAAGGACTTGAATAGACCTAATGCCAAAGAAGATTTACAAGTGGACAAGAACATATGAAGACACTCAACATGTTTAGTCTTTAGGGAAATGC